TAACATTGATTTTATGTTACAAAGATTTCCACGCAGTCTATAAGTAAATTAGTGTTTGGTCGGCTGTTATCTCCACTTCACATGTATTTAGTAAGAAATGCGTTTGCAAGGGAGCCCCCTCTCCAGAGGAAATACTGCAGCCTATTGTTATTTGTAAGGGAAGTGGGGGCTATAGCTCCCAGAGGAAAAGTCATAGCATCATTAAAATGTGGCTGTTGTCATAATTGCAAATATTGTCTAATTTCAAAAAGCAATCTAGTTATACTGCATTAAAAAATTCTGACCTTGCATCAGGAAATAAATTGAATTTCACTCCACTTTTCTGTGAATGTTGTTATATCCAATGTAGAAAATATAAAAAAAAAAAGAGTCCTCCCAATCTAAATGTATTTCTTAAAAAAACACAAAATTTATGAAGTCAGTCCAGTTTTAAAGTTCAGTGACCTAGAAATGATTTGAGTGCTTTGGCTGAGTGGAACTTTCCCTTTAATAGAAGCTGCCATTTCTTTCAATTTATCCTCCTGGCTTCCTGGTTATTGTTCATCTGGAGACAAATCATTGTCCCAACCAGGAAGTTCCTTCTTCGGTAGCCTACTTTTATTCTTTTATATCTAGACAATTTAGTCCTGTTTTTATTACTTTATCATTTTAAATTATAGGGATGCTGTATAATATAATTCCACCTTTCAGTTTGACACTGCGGCCCACTGATGCTTATCCTTGAAGTAAAGTTAGCAATTATATTAAACGGCTCTCTTTCATGTTAAATTCTTATCAGCTGCACTTTGCCACCTTCTATTAGTCATTAATTGGTAAAATATAAATAAGATGCCTCTTTAGTGAAGCCTGTATTCTGCTTGGCTCCTCTTAAGGAAAGGTAATTATCAATTTCATGTTATGGATTTTATATTTTGGCATAGTAGGTCACTTTACAAAAACGTGGAGAGATTTTCAAATCTTAGTTCCTCAGCTAAATGTAACCCTCAAATATTAGCTCCAAAATGTAAAAAAACAAATTGAAGTAGCTGATGTTCTTGAATTGCTTGGAATAGATTAAAAGTTGAATGTCTTTGTAAAGATAACACTATAATTTCAACAAAGCAGTCTATTTAGTTACACTACCAATCAGTTTATTGTAGAACTATGATAAGATTAAAAAAAAAAATTCTGTAAGGAAACCTTATAACAGCTAAAGGGTTAAAATAGAAGAAGATTGACAAAAAATAAGACTCACTTAGAAGTAGTTATCTTATGAATATCTACATGTAAATTTCTGCTCATCTTGTTCATTTCGTTTATGGACTTTCAGATTTTCAGGTTGTCGGAATTCAACCAGGAAAAAAAAATGACCAAACTACTCCCAGGTAAAAACTTCTTCATTTATTCTGATCATTCATTTTCATCTGAAAATCAGCAGCATTTTTATATAAATATATGTTTTTTAATTCGTCATCGTCATGGTTGACGAAATGAACACTGGTCCAGAAGCGTGCCCACACAGACACACACAGATGCAGACAGCCAGGCTCCGTGGTTGAGGGACAGAGACAAAACGGGGTACCGGGATTTCTGCAGGGAACTTTAAACTGGTCTCCTCCTTGGAGCCAGGCTTACGGGAATAGAATTGACCTTCTCCGCTTTCCGAGCCAAAACCCTGAGGGCTCTGCGGAGAAGGATTGGGAAAAACAACAAACAACAAAAAAAAAAAAAACCTCTTACTCCACTGGCCGACAGGAACCAGAACATGAACCTTGGGACTAACTAAACACGACCAAACAGAAAATAACACAAAACAAAGATCTGGCCTTGATAGCTGGGCTGAGCCGAATATAAAGGAACAGGCACAGGTGGGTGAGATGAGTGATAATTAGAGACTGGGCAGAGTTAGGCAGTTGATTGAAATGAACAACTAAGCCCAGCTATCAGGGCAGATCAGTTTCCCCAGTGTAAAATCGATATTAGTTCCCCAAAAACAGACCTTATCAGTTTTCTTATCTACCAGGTAAAACTTTATAGTCATAGACAAACAAACACTACAGATATTCCCGACTCAGTATACGGAGGCTGCATTATGTCATTTTCATTTTTCAGACCAACCTACATTTTTTCATTGTAGCATCCACAGATGGCAGAAGTACTCACTTTCCGTACTTGAGTAAAAGTACAGATACTTGTGTTAAAAAATACTCTGGTAAAAGTGG